TTTGTGTCATGATCATCTGATTCAAAGCTTCCTTTATACTCCCAATTACTAATAGACTCATCCTCTCTAGTCTCTCCATGCTTATGCCAACACTTGTAATTTTCATTAATTTCATAGCACACTAAATAATCTTCCATCTCATAGCAAACCTCATAAACTCTTTCACACAATTGAAATACACTTTACTTAATCGATTGAAAGATATCCATTCTTTATCCATAACTTTTTAATCTAAAAGACAATTCATTCAAGGAAATATAATCAGTGACTCACGAATATGGAGAGTAAATGAATGATAGAAAGATTATCAATAAAGAAATTGACTACTCTATATATAATATAGAGTAATTAATGAATCATGAGTCACAATGCATGAGCATTCACATACTCCTTCAATCGTTGAAAAAAATTCAACAACATAATGGCATAAAGAAAGTATTTCTCGGGCTAAAACCCTCTTTTCAATCTTGGCATCTCACTCAACAAACTAATTCCAACCATATACAATCATAAAACCAACGAAATTTTCACAAAATAGTATTTTCAAATTAACTCTAATTATTATAGAATTATATATAAAATTCATTCAAAAATCATAGAAAAAAGAAAAAAACTATAAACATCATTTTGAATCAATGTTTTCTATATCATTGATCATTCTAAGGTTATATATATCCTATATTAGCAATCTCAATCCAAGAACAAATCATTCTTTACCAAATGTAAAAATATCAATAAAATAGCAATGATTTTTAGGAAAATCGCGCATCAGTTTTGGTCACTAAAATGAACTTCAATTGTAATGAAAATTGGTATACTAGTACATTTCAATATGTAGTTTTGAACGATAAAACTACTCTGATTAAATAATGCACAAAATTTAAATTAAAAATTATTGAAATAAATTAGTCAAAATTTGTAAAAAAAATACAATCATCATAAATATCCTATTTTGATCACTAATTTTCATCTTAATAATCATCCTAAGGCTAAGCAATCTACTGTCATTTTCAAGTCAATAAAACATCAAACATTAATAATTTTTGACACCCCACAATATTAAAATGGGCAACAAATGAGGAGAAATTTAAACAACAAAAACCAAGTAATAAAACAATTTATAATATTAAATAAATCAATCCCATAATCTAGAAATCTAAGCATATTGGAAGAAAATGAAGAAAAATCATAGAAATCACAAACTCTTATACCTTGGGGAATAGAGGATGAAACACAAAGAGGAAGCAAATGAGAGAGGCAATGGACGATGTAGGAGGAGCACTTTCACGTTGGAGAGAGACAAAGGTGGTCGACAGCAACAATGGAGGCAAATTAAGAGATTTCTACTGATTTCATGTAGAAGTGGAGAAGAGAGAAAACAAAGACAATGAATGGGTGGGAATGAAAAAATAAGTTTGAAAACTGAATAAAAATGAGAATAAATGACGGGTATTCTAATACCCATCATTTACTCATGAATATATGATGGGTGTTTTAAACACCCATCATATATTGTTGGGACTTTAAATGACGGGTGTTTGAAACACCCTCATTTAAAGTTTTAAAATTTTTTATTTTTTTAATTTAAGAAATTGAAACGGCGTGCACCAATATATGACGGTTGTTTGCATAACCATCATATATTGTTTAAACTTTAAATGACAGGTAATTAAAATACTCATCATTTAAAGTTTAATTTTAATTTTTATTTTTTTCCTTCCAATAAATGAAACGTTGGGCTAAAATAAATGATGAATTTTTTAATACTTATCATTTAAAGTCTAACAATATATGACGGGTGTTTGAACACCCATCATTTATTTTCTTACCATCACCCACTTCTCTCATATATGACGTGTTTTTATTTGATCGTTACTTTTCATGGTGTCTTAGATTTACGTTTTTGTAATAGTAATATGGCCCACACATACATTGCCCCTACGTGTGAATAGAATTTCTTTTGAAATTGATTGTTGACAATAGTGGACCCAATTGACCATGTTAATGGTTGGTTTGGGTTTGATCAAGTCAGGTTGACCATATATGACCCGATTAATAAAACACAGCCAACCCCCTATCAACCCTTGGTCAAAATGACACACTGTCGAGGTCGTTTCGGACATTGCAACAGGTACTTGATTCGGACTCAAAGGTGGACCCGAAAACTTACAGCGGGTTTTCACGATTTTCCCCCTATTTGGCCTCTGTTTGACACGCTTTTGGTCTTGTTAGAATCATCTTCTCATCCTCTACATGATGTTACCCATTCTGCACACTAAATTTATCATTTTCAAAGAGCTAAATTTTTGAGCTCTCCTCGTCAGTTGTATATCACGGCCATTATTTCAGAGAGGTTTGGAATTCGTTCTTAGTCATGTTTTAGCATCTTATGAAGTCAAGAATAAAGATTATAGATTCCAACAACACAACATATGGATAGATATGAAAATCCATTGTCTCATAAGCATGAATTCGGATAGCATGCCAACACATGTACATAGATCCATAAGCATATTAAGTACAGAGGAAGCGGGTTACAGGCACAGGGGCGAACCCATGTACAAGTTGAGAGGGGCCACCATACCAACTTCATGTATATGTGGTGTGGTATGGGTGAGTTGAGTGGCTCCCTCCTTTTGCTTGAAAAAAAAAAAACAAAAACAAAATTCTCCTCTCTATCTCCACTTCTTACAAATAATTAAACTATACATATATACATATATACATATATATATATATATAATTATAATTTTGTACTTTTATATTAAACAGATATGAACTGTAATACTATATATATTGATTCATAAAAATATTTTTTTATTGATGTATGATGAAGATTACCTTCTTATCAACAAAAAAAAAAAGAGTACAGCTTAATATTTACTCCCTTGTCAAAGCATATAAAGTATTTTATTTAAGAAGAGATGCTAAAAAATATAAAGCATTTTAAGTTTTTTCAATGTGCAAGTAATGAGGTTTTCTAAAAATAATCTTAATTAAGGGTGTAATTAATAAAGTTATCTAGTAAAAAAACCTTTATTAAATAAGGTTAAGTATGGAAAGAGTGCATAATTTTAAAGACAAATAACTGACTCATTAAAAATTTTTTATAATAGTAAATGGAAGGAGTATTATGAGTAAAATACACTAATATCTCCTCTATTTTATTTTAATTATGTATATGTATATCTTCTATTTTAAAAATTTATATGAACCTAGCTCCCATAAAGTCAATAGTTAGAAAATACAAACCTTTCATCTACTTCTTTTTAAACATAGATGTTTTTTAAAAACCATTCAAATTACCTAAAAGAACTTGTAATACATATATATATATATATATATATATACTTTTTACTTTTTATAATTCTTATGTTATGATTTTTTTCATATTATAAAAATATTTTAATAACATTCTTATTCTAAATTTTAAAAAATTTAAAACTAAATTATCAGTGTACATAGTAACTTTAATTTAAATTTGGTCCCCCCCCCCCAAACAACAAAAAAAAAAAAAATTTCCTATCCTGGTTCCGCATTATGTATGTAAATGAGGCTTTGAAGAAGCATCCAAATATTCATATGGACACAGCATGCATTTAGGCAGCATATAGAGTACTCATATGAGTAATGCACATGTACAGGCATGATGAGGATTAAAACAAAAAAACTTATTTTTATCACTTGTCAATGCAAACACACTCTTAGGGTCAACTAGGCTCTTATATCAATGTAAAAAATAAAAGAACAAACAAATTACTCATATGAGTAATGCACATGTACAGGCATGGTGAGGATTAAAAAAAAACTTATTTTTATTACTTGTCAACGCAAACACACTCTTAGGGTCAACTAGGCTCTTATACCAATGTAAAAAAAATAAAAGAACAAATAAATTATTCATAAATAATTTAAGTTTGAGTTAAAATCAAATTAGATCTAGTGTCACGTTTGACATTATTGAATTGACAAGGTAGAAGTAAAATTAGAGATGGAATTTTAATTTAAATATGATTGATATGTAGAAGTTGCAATTCTTAAGAATTCAAATTCCACCAAAAATGCTAGGATTCAATTCTATCATATTAACCATGGAATTGTTTCAATTCCCTTGAATTCATTTTGTAGACTCCACTACTCTCATCTTTTTTGTTCATTTATGATAAGATAGGCCTTTTTAATTTTGAGAAAAAAGACAATTTGATCTTTTCTTATTTTAAGTACATATATTAATTAATATTATATTAAAATTCTATTTTCATACCAAAAAAATTTTAAAACTCAATTATATTTTAAATTCAATTTCAATTTTAATTTTAATTTTAATTTTAATTCTATTAAAAACTTTTCTTGGGTTGAATACTAACCCATGAAGAGAAAAAACTACTAGAGTCTTACCCACCAGACACACAGTAAGTAGATGCATCTCATAAGAGAAAGAGAGAGAGTGAGAGAAAAAAAGGGAGCAGTGAATATGAGAGTGACTATTTAACTCTAATGTGTTCTTTCCCTTCACCAAATTACCCCTGTATATAGTGCGGGTTGTTGAGTTAAATTGGAAAATTATATCATAATAAATCAAACATCATAATGAAAAATTAAACATAATAAGACAAATCCCAATAAATATAATATCTCAGCTAATAAGATATATTGGATCTAACCAAGATTAAATCATTATTTAATTCTTGATTTCTTTGACCAATTTTTTTTTATTTGATTAAACTAATTTAATCAAATATATTAAATTAAGTACTATTTAATTTAACATAATATCTGGACCCGATTAAGGACAGATATATAATCTAACACTTCCAAGATAAATATAAAGGGGGAAAAGGTTATTAATGAGTTTATTCATTATTGGGATTTATATATAAACAAGTATTCAGAAGCAACTCATTTTGGGTCCCTCGGTTTGTGACCTTGTTCCTCACCTTTTTGTCCTTGTTCCTTTCTGGTCATCTTCCTGCTCGCTTTTATACCTTATTCTCTCTCTCATGTCTTCCTCATCACCATCATCGTCTTCTTTTTCTTCTTCTTCTTCACCTTCAATCCCAGATGACACCACCAACCATGGCAATAATAATAATAATAGTGGTGGTGGCGATTCTGATCCTGGCCCTAGTACTAGTCGACGAAGAAGACGACGTCCTATGAATGAGGTTTTGCCTGAACCTTTTCTTGAAGCTTTAGCCATCCAAATAGCCATTGAAGCTTCTCACACTCATGGACGTCTGGCGGCTGCTCCTTCCATTGCCAATCTCTTTCAGGTCACTCATATTACTCTTCTTCTTCAACCTCATCACCATCTCTCTCTCTCTCTCTCTCTCTACACACACACATTTCATGCTTCGCCCATAATGTTAAGGAATGTAATAGCAAATAAAGTGGATAATGGAGAATAGAGAATTAATGTAGTGAAACCCTATATATTTTTCTCAAAAAATTGCCTAATCCATGTTTCACAAACAAAATAATGAATGTACATGCTCCAAGAAAAAAGTAGTTGTATTTTGGAAAAAAATATGTATGAATATTTTATCTCTTTGATTGATTAGTCATATGTGGTCTTTCTGTTTTGCTAAATCTGATGCTTTTAAGGAAAGTTTCATGGATCTGTTGCTCGAAAATCAACACTTATAAATTGATTCTTAAGTGTCTATGGCATTGGTAACTGATGATAAAAAAAAAAAAAAAAACCGGACAAAATGTTGGTCGAACATGTAAGCATTGTAATTTTCTGGACACTGATATGCTGAATTCATTAACATGTTTCATTTTATGTTTCCTTTTTTAAAGTTCTTAAAAGGCAAACAAACTAACCCTTAAGATTGAGATATGAAGAATCAAGTATCCTCGAAAAATATAAAATAAAATAAAACTCTCCCTGTCTTTCTAGAAACATACATACATACATACATGTGTGTCCCTTACAGAGAAGGTGGGTTAAAATATTAATGCTTGTTCCTCCTCGCAATCTTGCTGTGGTCTTGTGTTCTTTAAAAAGTCTAATTTTGGTCGTCCGGCTTCGAATTTGATGCCCCTTTTCTTGGCATGAAATGAAACCCTTTTTGACTTAGCTTTCTGGTTTGTGGTATCTACGATATCCATTAATGTATTTTACGATCTAAAAGATATGAGACCTTTAAATTTATAATTTATTTTTCATTAGGAGTAACTCTGTATCTCGAGTGAGTAACACAAGCAGGCAGGCCTACCAGCATTTATGTCTTTCACCAACATTTCCATAAATAGTTAATATTGCAAATATAGAACATATTCAATTTTATATGTAATCATGTATGCGTATTTAGGAAGTAGTGGAAATCACATCATTTTATTATAATATTAATATTAATATAGAATCAGAATCAGAATATGCCACCCTTCTTTTAAGCATCCAAAATTTGGAAACTGCTTCAAGATTATCTCTGAGTTTTTTGTGTCCAATCTTGTTCAGAAGATTTTAAAATGTCGTGTGTGTGTGTGTGTGTGTATAATATTCGTGAGTTTTTTTTGTCTAGTCTTTGTTGAGAGTAATTCCCTAGTCTGCTTTGACATGTCATCTGTCACTATGAATAAAAATAGACAATAATGGACATATTTTGCGCAGCTATAAACTGGATTCACGTACTATATATATACGGAATTCGAATCTTCATTTTTTTAAAAAAATTGATTTAGACTAATATTAAGGTCTTTTTCTGTTTCGTTGTCTTTTTTTTCCTTCACGATATGTACGATCATGAATTTGCCTTGAAAATCTGTAGTTCTTAATTAAAGGATCTAGTCTTTTTCCCCATCCCTTTCTGTAAATCAAGTTGGAACCAAATCAAAGAAAAAGTGGGATATATTCAGATTTAGAGCCATAGTTAATTGATGGGATTTTTTTTACTGCTAGGGTTAGGGTTGGAACATCATTTTTGGGGGGGGGGGACGGTTAGGGTTATTAAACTTGGAACTATTTTCGGCCCTGCCTGGTGTTCCACCTTTAGCCAAAAGAAAAAAAGAAAAAAGAAGCTTGGAACTAATTAAAATATTGCCAAAATTTATTTAAAAAAAATGCACATGCCTTGTTTGGTATTGCATATGTTTTCTGGTCTCCTTCAAAGGATCGATGTGAATTATCTTCTCGTTACAATACCCCACTCCTTTTTGTATCCATCTCTCAGGTTCACGTCATATCTAATCATGATTTATAATCTGTGTATACATATAGATATATATATATATAGTCTTCTACATAAATATTATATTGATAATGACCCGTTGCATGTGATCGTTTGTGAGCATACATTAATTCTATTTTAGTGCAAAACAAAAATATTTAAGCTTACTTACTTACTGTACTTTTCAGTTAAAATGAAAATTTACTTACCAATTATTTCTCCTGTAAATAACTCTTATTATATATAATTATTTTTAATCCATATTTACATTAACATGCACTCATTTTGATTCAATGTTGGATATAAGTGCAACAAGTTAATAAGCTTAACTACTATATTATGTGAAATCAAAATTGTTTGTCTTTATTGATTGTTACATCAGTATAAAACCAAGTTAATATTGTCTATTGTTTGTTTAAGCTGTGTGTATGATGCTGTATATGTATATGATTATAATATTGAGATAAAAATGTTTTATTAGTGAGATAATTGAAGTTTAGGGCTATAGCTAGTGACATTGTTGTGTGGATGAATAGAACTTGATATACATTCGCAGCTTTTAACAAGTTAGGCCCTTTGCCCAAACCTTTCTTGGAAATGAAATAGAAATAGTTGTGGGAAAGCACGCTTCAGACTTCAGGTTCTAAGTCTTTCTTTATTCATACACTCTATTTAAAAATATAAAATATTTTTAATTAAATTTCATCTCTTAATAAAATAATTACTTATTTTTAAATTAATATTATCTTTTCATAATTACTTCTATTAAACACCTTACAATAAAAATAAAGTTATTATTAATAAGGACACTTTTGAAAAAAAATAATGATTACACCTCAAAACACTAAAAATGTCTTACATTTTTAAACATTTAATTTTTCAAAAAATACTTTATATTTTTTAATGGAAGGAGTATTTTTTTTTCTTAATTTCTACTATTAACTTGTATGAATCTCGTACATTGATTAATTAGCATGACTGTTTTATATTGCACGAGGTTTTTTTTAAATGAGTCTTAATATTTATAACTCATGAATAATGATATAACCTGTTGGGTTTTACGTTATATATAGGTACATGGATTATTTAAGTTGGCAGAGAGATAATTAAATATGTGGAGTGATTTATATACTCACCCCTATAGAAAAAATATTATGTTTTTTTATGAAATTAGACGTTAAGAAAATAAAGCATTTTTACTTTTTTTAATATATGATTAATGAGTTTTTTTTAAATTACAATAAATAAATCACTCTAAGTTTTCCAAGAAAACATGAAAATATATTGTTAATTTAAAGATAATTAATTAACTTATTGTGAAAAGTGTGATTTAATTAAAAATGTCTTATAATTTTAAATATGTAATATTTACATTTACATTTCCAACTTCCAAGTGACTCCTATAATTAATTTCCTATTGGCGATTAAAAATATTTATATCGACAAATCTTCACCAATCTTTAAAACCCTTGTCGTCAAGCTTTTAGGTTCATGCTAAATTGTGTTGAATGGAAAGTCAATGTCATGTGACTCGTCACTTTAATTAAAACTTGTTTTCTTTCCCCCTATTACAACTTTTATTTTTGAACTTGAGCTTTTGACACACCATTGCCAGCCAAGAAACACATTTTCCCAAACCTTTTGAACCCTCTTTGTTTATTGTTTTGTTTTTTCTATATGTGAACATTATTATTAATTATTGAAGGGTTACTATTAACATAAATAACAACATGAACTTACCCTGGACATCTTTTGACCCGCTTTTTTAATTCCACCACTTGATTTCTCTATTTGGAGTGTCTGCTCTGATTCTGAATGTTCATCGTACTTTGTTGGTGTACCTCACCCAGTTTCATGGATGAAGAAATTATAAACAAAGTTTAGTAACTGTCGCAATCTCTCCCTCTCTGATACTGCCCCCCTCAGATAGGCTAAACAAAGCAAACCTATCATCACCTTGTAATATTAGCTATGTTACTAGTACAATATCACAAGTTAAAAATCATCATTACATACAAAAGTATCAAGTGAAAAAGACAACCCACATTTTATATTGCATGTGAATATGTTATTTTGAAAGTTATAGATTATATATTGCCCTGGTATTATTATAAGAAAAAAAAAGATTAATTTAAACTCATTTATGATAAAAATATTACAAATAATTCTTTATTTTTATTAGAAGTTTATTAAATTTATCAGAGGTAAAATTTTATTAAATTTTAAAATATAATTAATGAAATTCAAAATTATTCTTTACTTGATTTTAGTGAAATATGCAGAAAATGACTTAATCCCTTCCTTTAAAAATACAAAACATTTTTTAAGAAATTACATGTTAAAAAATAAAGTATTTTTAATTTTTTAAAATATAATAATTATTGTTTAAAAGGTATCCTTATTAAAAAATTACTTTATATATATATATATATATTAAGGTAAAATTTATATTAAATAAAGATAAATATAAAAAAATAAAGTTAATTTAAAAATAAATAATTATTTTATTGTTTGAGATTTGAGTATAGGTTAAAAAAGATATAACTGCATGAAATAAAGAATATATTTACTGATATATTCAAGTGAGACAGTAAAGAAGGAACTAGGGTTTAATTCTCTGCACGTAATACCCTGCATTCTTCTTTCTTCTTTAAAATTGAGATTCAAACGAGACCAGTCATGACAGAAACTGTACATATATAAATAGGCATAACTTCAAATACGAGACAGGAATACCTATAAGCATATATATATATATATATATATGTTATTACATATACATAGCTTATTTGTTCTGATGTTTCACAGTGTTCTCTAGTGTCTGCCATGCTTCTCTGTTTAGGTATTAGTATGCTTTTACTTGTAACGCTACCTGCCTCTTCTGCTCCATCTCCTACCTACGCCACCTTAGACTCCTCTTAGCCCTGCTTCTTCTGCTGCTATAATACATACCTTTATATATAATGCACAGAAACACTACACAGTATATGTGTGAGGATATTTATATTATATGTGTATGTGTGTGTGGCTCCAGGTTCGATGTGTCTCGTTTAGATAAAAATATCTGGACGCATGGGTTTGGGATTGAGACTGGGATATGTCCCGTGGGTTTTGTATTTAACCTGTCTATTCAATCGTCCTCTTTTTATAATCCGTGTTGCTGCCTCTTGTGCATTAGCCTCTGCCTTCTACTACTTTACAGATCATCTTCCTCCTCCACATCTTCCCATAAATCAATCCTCTTGATCGTCTCCAAACTATTATTAATTATTATGATAAATATTATTTTACTCTTTTGTTAATTGCTTGCTTACTTTGTTCCCTTGCTTTATGAATTATGAGTTTGGTTGTGGTGGGTGTAATAAGATTCTCTTGCTTTCCTTTGCGCCGCGCTGCATGTCATGCGCCCAAAATCATTTCGATCTCAGATTTGGATAACTTGCATTAAATAAGTCTGTAGAGATGGTACTCAAGTTGTGTTGTGTCCATATATATGTCGGAGAGTTCTAACGTTCAAATTGAAGGCAGTCGTTTTAGATATACAAATGAAGTTAGGTATTAAAACAATGTTGTTGTTGTTGATGATGATGATGATGTTGTTGATGTAATCAGCATAGTCGGGATATTGAAAAAAATTATTCTGTCATATTATTATTTAACTGAAATAAATATATTTATGATCAATACATATTTTATTCGAATTATTTTGTGTATATATATATATATATATAAACTTCCTGTGTTGGTTGATATCTGAAACAATTTATTGCAACATGTAATTATATTTTATCATGTCTTTTAATTTATAACATTTCTTATGATTGAGAAAAGAATTACTGGTTATTGGGGAAAAAAAGAATTACTATTTTTAACCTACTTATATATGTATATATATTCAGTTATTAACTGTACTTGGTTAATCTCTTGCTATTTTTTAACGTCATCGGTCTTAATGCATGCAGGTTTGTTCTACATGGCGAGCCATTTCGCGCTCGGATCACCTGTGGCAGCGGCTTACCCAAAGCATATGGCGTCGAACCCATAGAATATTCGACACGTGGCATGAGGAGTTCAATTTTTGGCATCGAACGGCAAGCAATTTCGTCACAGGCAGATACGCCCACACCTCCCTACGCTGTCCTTTTGACTTAGACCGACCCCATCTATGCCGTTGCCTCACACTCTCCGACAACCACCTTGCTTGTGGATTCGCCGACGGCACCGTCCGCCTCTACGATCTCCAAACACGCGCCCATGTCATCACCTTCCGGCCCCACCACGTGGACGTGTTAGGTCCTTTCTCAAGATCCGTGTCCGGAATCATCATCACAAACTCCACACTGGTCTTTGCCACACTGGACGGAAACATCTATGCTGCAGACATCAACGGGCCACCCGATACCCACATGGCCCGACCCGGAGACGTTCTGAACAACGGCGTCTTGGTGGAGTTTGCTGGCAGCGGGCGGTGGTGGGTGGGCCTTTTCGCAGGCGTCCCTCGCCGAGCATTCCGTGTCTGGGACGCGCGTGGCGAACAACCCGATTACATTGGTGGGTCCTTGACCGACCCGGATTCCGTCCAGGGCTGGCACATGCTGACTGATGTAACTGAACCAGTCGGTCGCTTGCGTGTCACCACTCGCGAGCTGGCCGTGGCATGCACGCGTTCGAGACTCGTAGTTTTCGACTTGAGGAACCCAGGGGTTTTATTGCGTGAGCTTGTGTCCAGAGTGGGCTTCATTGTGACCTCGCTGGACGTGAGCCACGAGGCGTTCGTTATCGTGGAGAGTAGGGGTCGTGCTAGAGTGCGCCGGGCGAGCACCTTCGAGCCTGAATGTGAAGAATTTATGGTGACGGGAACGCCGCTGAGGGGGATGATCGGATGCATGAACTTGGGTTACGTGCTAATATGCGCCGGTGGTCATGTTAGACTGTGGGACGTAGAGCCTGGAGAGGCACATCTGGGCTTGACCATAAACGAAAGAATAGGATCGGGTATGGCAATGGCTGCCAACGACAGACACGTGGTGGTGTCATGTAGAGACACGTCAATACACCTCTGGGATTTTGGTGTACAGTAGTGACTGGGTTGGCTCATTGTCCGAAGGATATAAATGTTGTTATTCTTTTGAGTTGAAGATGACATGTGATTCCTCATCCATATGCTTTTTTGAAAGGTAGTAATCCTTAATTTTATAATTTTATAAATATTATTATAATTGTCGGTCAAAGTATTAAAACTTGTTCTGATTTATAGTGAAGTATTAGGATTCAACTAGCTAGATGTGTGTTTTTGTCTTTTATATATATATATATATATATATCATTTGAAAGTGAGTTATCGTATTCAATATTGATTCAGTAGAATAATTTTTTTCAAAAATATCGAAAAAGAATTTTTGATTTGGAGAGTATTTTAGGATTAGTCATTAGATATGTTGAACAAAGAGTAAAATAGCGGATAGGTAGCTTTCTGTTGGGGTTGGCCTGTGAATTTTAATTTTAATTTTTTGTGATGGGTCCTTGTATTTATTGGTATTTAGTTCGATAGTCACTAATCAATGATAATTGGAGAGTAGAGAGTCAAAATGGGACAGCTTTTGTTTTAGTTAATTACGCGCAGTGTCACAAACTACTGAGATATGTCACGCCCTGCATTTGCATCTATTCTTTTCTTTTCAAGCACATTATTATTGGCTGAAAATAATATTATAGAACATATTTTAATATTTTTCTTAAAAATAATTAATACTTTTCCAATTTTTTTTTATAAATTATTTTTATTAACCTTATCAATATCAATATAAAAAAATATAAAAAATAAAAATACGTAGAATTCTAAATATATCCCTATATAATAAATTTAAAAGTAATATCATATTATTATTTTTCTCTTAGGGAGGATAATTTTAAAAATATTTTTTAAATATTATCTAAAAAGCCATAGCCTAACTTATAAATAAGATTAAATAAACCTTTTAGAATGTAACTTATAAATGAGATCGGTGGGAGTATATTTTTTAATTTTTTTATTAAATATTTAAAATAAATGAATTTTTATATTTATTTGTGCGCAAAGTTCTTCTATTTAATAAGGTTGGACATGCTAGTAAAAAACAATAATAATAAGATAGACATTAAAAAACAAAAAGTAGTAGAATGACAGACAAATACTCATGAGACATAGAATTCCCAGTTGAGAACGCTAAAATGACCTAATCGCTTTAAGGTCCAAGGAACTTTTATGGGATTAAGTTTTTACATGAAATTATCTTACTACTTGTATGGATTTAAAAAAAAAAGTCAAAAATAAGGGTTAGGCCTAGTATAACCTCCCAAAGGTTAAATCACAAATTAACTCCAATTCATAGTAATTCGAGGTTTTAAAGAATTTCTCCAAAAATTATTTCACAGGAATACCAATTTACCATTTCAAATCTCAAATATAATTTCAGGACTCTAAATCAGAGTTTTAAAAGTAAAGCGGAAGCTTGAAAATCAATTGGGACCCAAATAATGAGTTTTAGAACTCAAAAATCATTTCTGTGCAGAAAATGACATGTGTGCCGCGGCTTATGGCTCATGCGCTGTAACGTGTCTTCTCTGTGCCATGCGTTGTGGCGGGACGTGCCATGCACCGCGTTGCATTGCACGAAATTTGATAGATTAGTGCTATCATTTGATAGCACAGGAAGCGAACTTTCGATGTGTCCCAAGTCTCTGTCCGACGTCTAATTGAGGTGATTTCGGTGTCTACATGGAGCTTTTTCCTAGCTCTAGCTAATGGCATTAGCTTCACACTCAAATTCATTTTCTATAAAAAGTTAGACATCAAAATTCATTTTGACATATTTTCACAAAATCTCCTAAATGGGGTGTCCCAACTCAACCACACGTGCTAATAAACTACACCAACCTTTGGATCATACTCAATGGACTTTTCCGAACTCGTGCAACATACCACACACAACTAATAATGCTTATGTCACAAAATAACCACTCAACCCTGGTTTTCAAAAACATAGAGGGGGAAGAAAAGTTGGACAAAATCAACCATTTTATTCATATTTCTCAAAAATATATATGTTCTTACTTGCACAAGTATTTTGGCCTTATTCACGGGTTCACAACAAAAACTTACTAATTCAGGGCACAAAATACATTAGTTAAATATAAAATCATGTAGGTAGTGCACCAATCATGACAATTGCTACTAGTTGGTAAAGACATTAATAAATACACATGTAAAGAATAAAAGAGGCATATAGAGGATTTACTCCACCAATCTTAAGCCTCAATCTGTTTTCCCCGACTTGGATTTAATGGGCTAGGTCTTGAAAATATTAAGAATTGAGGAGTGAGTATAACCACTCAGTAATCAAGTTTCACTTAACCCTTACAGTTATATATTAATTGTAAATAGATGTAATTAGACATATAAACACATATATCACATAGCATTAGGCCACGGTTCACAAAACTAACAACCATGTGATTGAGCTTGCCACAAAACACCATATCATGTTATTTTTAAAAACATAACTCAGGGTCGCAAAAATAACAACCATGTGCCCTTAACACGTGCTGAACCATAAAACTAACAACCATGTAGCCGGACTTATGTGCATGATCATATGCCAATCTTATATCCTCCTGTTACCTTTGACACGAAACCGATAGCTATCACATGGCTACGTCCTTTACGAACTAACCTATCCTTCCACTTGTGAGGAGTTACCGGGCTAGTGTTAACTAACTCACTTATGTAATCTCCTTTCTCCCAATACTAATAACCATGGGGTGTCGTACTCCTAATCTAGCCTCCTCATGAACCGGTGGAGACTAGTTAGATTCGAGTTCCTTATAGAACAAGTGGGACAATCCCGAATCAACCATGAGACAAGAGCTACCTCTCGATTCCAATAGTCGGTGCCAAGGCTAGTTCCTGATTCCAACGGTCACTACCAATACCATGTGAATTTCAACCAATCTACTCTTCTCTCTAGGCGAACTCCTGCCAATGATCATGCTATGCACATTTCATACTTAATATGCATTTTAACAATCATTTCTCAACATATAAACTCACATAACACAAATATTCCACAATTTAACACATAATTCATCACAATTCTCTACCCATAGTAATAAATCACAAGTAATTTTACAAAACATCAAGGGTGGTAGAATCAAGGTTTTTTCTTTCCCAAAACCATTTCACAATCAAGTATTTATCAATATACATCATCAATTTAAATTCATACATCACATTTTACAAACACAATTAACATTCAACTATAAAAATTAAGTTTTCCTTGATTACCTCAAACTTTTAAGAGGTCAAAGGTTTACCCCTCACTATATCAACTTTTCAAAGCTTCAACAAGCTTGAATGGTGCCAAAACAAACCTCTATTCATCCAAACCACAAGAACATCATCATTACTTAACTCTTGAACATAAAACTCCACAAACACTATTTCAACCGACTCATAATCACTACGCATTCATACCCAATGGGCTCATTAGATTTCATTAATGCACATTATCATTAATAACATCTCAAATCATCATTAATACACATTGACCTCTCCCAACTACCTTGTAAATGCTAATTTTCGAACATTCAATGCTCTCATAGACCAACCGCTTGTAAAATCATTAATATGGTATTCCAATACATTAAATCACTCCCATTAATCTCATTTTAACCAATGGAATTGGATCCATACTCTTATGGACTGAAAATGCATCTCCCAACTCAAACCCTGCCATAAATCATTACAAATGAGGGAGAGAAAGGAAGAAGAAAGCATCATCATAATCTTACCCTAAGTGTTTGGAAGCTCCAATCTATTAATAATGAGATCAAATGCTGTGTCCTAGTAGAGCTAAAACCAAGCCTTTTGTTTTCCTCCACTTTCTCTCTTCTGTTTTCACGCATAAATGAATCAAATATATCTAATTTTTGGCCATGCACCACGGCGCACGCTACATTTCGTTGTGGCGCATGGCATAAAGGAGCTCGTTATGTTTAAATTATCTCCGTGCGTCGCAGTAGACCAACCATGCATCGCGACGTGTGGCACATAACACAATTCTTCACTTTTTCATCCTCTTTTCTTGCTTAGGTGGCCCGTCATCAATTTGAACCCACTTTTAGGATTGAAATTACATCAATTATGCCAAGTTAAGCTCCTCTGGCCACACACCTCATTAACTCACTAACTACACTAATTAAGTTAACAAATCAGGGTTAAAATTTTTTAGATGTTACACCTAAAGATCTTATTTAAATAAGAGTTTCAACTTTGAAAATAAGATTTTTGTAAAGCAATTGAGCTTAAAAGCCTGACCCTAATAAACCTTATAAAAAAGGGCTCGAATCCAAGCGGCCCTTCAAGTTTTGTTATCTTATTATTATTTTTTTTTTAATTTTTTGTAGGATGTTGCATTTGAAGAAGGAACCCTGTTGAACCTTAAGCTCACTCGACTTTCTAAAGATTGAAGAACTCAAATTAAGGGATCACCTCTTGCTTTTCCTTGCTTATCTCTCCCTAACAATCTCGGCTAGTTAATCACTCAACCTTACCCATCTCGTTCCTTGCCTCTGCCTCACGGCTTATGCCCTACATATAAGGGATCTAATACATATATCTGATTGGTAATGACACAATTTGATTAATATTTATTGTAGGTGATGAAGAAGAAGTTGTAGAAATAATTGACATTGAACCTTTACCTCCATCTTAAACAAGTGGACCTGCATTTGAATGATTTAATATTATATTTTTAAATGATGAGGAGGCAGATTTAGATTTACATTGATAAAAATTTCAATCTTCATTTTAAATTTAAAAATTTAAATCTTTATTAAATTTTATGTGAGACTTTAATTTATTTTATGTTAAATTTTAAAATATTATATTTAAATTAAAAATATTAATTTTTTTTTAAGAAGAGGGCTTACGAACCTGACCCTAAACTCTTTGAATAAGGGATAGGCTTTAGAATTAAGTCAAATTTTAAGTAATTAGGCTTTAGGGCTTGAGTTCTTAAAGGTCAGGCCCACCCAGATTCTCATCTCTATGTTTAAGTTTTTTCATGAAATTATCTAACTAA